CTGTATACTTCCAGAGTTGACCACTTACCACCTGGTGTCACCTTCCTCTGCTTCCCCGGAGGACCGACATCTTCTAGGGGTGGCGGGAGGTCGGGGTTCTGGGCACTGGAGGATTTCAGTGTTTGGAGGATCTCAAGAAGCTGGCGATTCCTCTTCAGTCTCTTCCGCCTGCTGATGGCGCCCTGGGAAGCGACAGAAGGATGATGGGTAACAATGGAGGCCATTTATATAAAGTACTCCACCTCACCAATACCAGCCAATCCCGTTCCAGCACAGAGTGTACAATTCTTCCGATTGGTTCTTCTTGATAATGTATGGACCCTGATGCCTCAGAACCTATGATCAAGGTCCGTACATTGTGAATAGTAACGAGGACCCAAATCGGCACAATCACCGGAATGACCGATTTGTATCTTCATGTCGTCTGCTCCGCCCTGGAATCTTCCACTGATGACACTACAGCTCCAAGCCCCCGAAACGCGTTGGATTTGAGTGAACTTCATTAAAATCTTATTGTGGACTTCATACATATGTTGCAGATTTTCCTTCACTTCCTGTCTGAAAGTGCCATCTTCAGCAGAACAGGAAGCGATGGAAAATCTCTTTATTAGATCCCCAGATAACAGTAAAAACCTGACAGGGGTTCCTATCCTTCCCAGCTCCATCCAAAACACGACATACACTTCAAACTCTAACATAACCCAGACACGGAGCCGTTCAGATATGGAAGCGGATGTCAATAACAACCAACCTGCTGTTTATTTTTATGTGTACATGTGCATATGGCGGCAGACATGTTTATTACAGATGCAGGCTGTGCTTCCTGCTCAGGAGGACTGCATGGGGATTGCGCTTTTCTCTTCTTCTCAGTGCAAGTCTTTGGGTTGGGCTCAATCAGGAAAACTATCACTCTACATGGCTGAGGTGTCTCGGGGGTTGTAGAAGCAAAGCAGCCGCAGTGTAAAAAGGAGAATCTATAGATCGGAATATGTGATATCATGAAATACACAATATTGCCAAAAGTATTGCCCCTCCCCCTCCAAATCATTGGATTCAGGTGTTCCGTGACATTTCCCGGCTACTAAATATTCCGCGGTCACCTGTTACTGGTATTATAACAAAGTGGAAGCAACCGGGAACAACAGCAACTCAGCCAGGAAGTGGTAGGCCACGTCACATGACAGAGCGGGGTCAGCGCATGCTGAAGCGCACAGAAGTCTCCAACTGTCTGCAGAGCCAATAGCTACAGACCTCCAAACTTCATGTGGCCTTCAGATTGGCACAACAACAGTGCGTAGAGAGCTTCATGGAATGGGTTTCCATGGCCGAGCAGCTGCATCCAAGCCGCACATCACCAAGTGCAATGCAAAGCGTGGGATGCCGTGGTGTAAAGCACGCCGCCACTGGACTCTAGAGAAGTGGAGGCGTGTTCTCTGGAGTGACCAATCACGCTTCTCTGTCTGGCAATCCGATGGACGTGTCTGGGTTTGGCGGTTGCCAGGAGAACGGTACTTGCCTGACTGCATTGTGCCAAGTGTAAAGTTTGGTGGAGGGGGGATTATGGTGTGGGGTTGTTTTTCAGGGGTTGGGCTTGGCCCCTTAGTTCCAGTGAAGGGAACTCTTAAGGCATCAGCACACCAAGACATTTTGGACAATTTCATGCTCCCAACTTTGTGGGAACAGTTTGGGGACGGCCCCTTCCTGTTCCAACATGACTGCGCACCAGTGCACAAAGCAAGGTCCATAAAGACATGGATGAGGGAGTTTGGGGGGTAGGAACGTGACTGGCCGCACAGAGTCCTGACCTCAACCCCATAGAACACCTTTGGGATGAATTAGAGGCGGAGACTGCGAGCCCCTCCCCCAACATCAGCACCAGACCTCACAAATGGTCCAACATTCCCATAGACACACTCCTAAACTTTGTGGACGCCTTCCCAGAAGAGTTGAAGCTGTTATAGCGGCAAAGGGCGGAGCCAACCCAATACTGAACCCTACGGACTAAGACTGGGATGCCATTAAAGGTCATGTGCGTGTTTGGCAATACAGTGTATGGTACAGCAAAGACGTAAATGTGGAAGTCACATCACAATTAAACAGTGATAACATTTCACTGACTGACATTTTTTCCATCATTCCCCTCGCTGGCCCAGTTGGGGGTATATGGCCACACTGAGGAAAGGCCTGTGATTGGGCTGAGCAGCCATCTCAAGGCATTGTGTCCGCCTGGTCCAGTCAGGCAGAAGATGTCATTCAGCCGAGTGCACCCACCTTGTCCTGCTTGGCATCGGGCGCTCTCTTCTGGGTGCTCAACAGACTCTCCGTCAGTTCCTGCACCTCCTGGTTATCGTTCCACTCCCCCGCATCAAACATGGCGGCGTCTCTGTGCAGGGAGAGAAGTGAACATGAACAATGATGTATATGATCCCCATAATAAAGAGTGACGACGGTATATAGAGAACCAGATGTGGTTGAATGAGATCATTCCGTCCTATGAGATCATCACTCCTCTACATTGTATCCTTCCCTCCTATGGGATCCTCACTCCTCCACATAGTATCCTTCCCTCCTATGGGATCATCACTCCTCTACATTGTATCATTCACTCCTATGAGATCATCACTCCTCTACATTGTATCATTCCCTCCTATGGGATCATCACTCCTCTACATTGTATCCTTCCCTCCTCCACATTGTATCATTCACTCCTATGGGATCATCACTCCTCTACATTGTATCCTTCCCTCCTATGGGATCCTCACTCCTCCACATTGTATCCTTCCCTCCTATGGGATCATCACTCCTCTACATTGTATCCTTCCCTCCCATGGGATCCTCACTCCTCCACATTGTATCCTTCCCTCCTATGGGATCCTCACTCCTCCACATTGTATCCTTCCCTCCTATGGGATCATCACTCCTCCACATTGTATCCTTCCCTCCCATGGGATCCTCACTCCTCCACATTGTATCCTTCCCTCCTATGGGATCATCACTCCTCTACATTGTATCCTTCCCTCCCATGGGATCCTCACTCCTCCACATTGTATCCTTCCCTCCTATGGGATCATCACTCCTCCACATTGTATCCTTCCCTCCCATGGGATCCTCACTCCTCCACATTGTATCCTTCCCTCCTATGGGATCATCACTCCTCTACATTGTATCCTTCCCTCCCATGGGATCCTCACTCCTCCACATTGTATCCTTCCCTCCTATGGGATCCTCACTCCTCCACATTGTATCCTTCCCTCCTATGGGATCATCACTCCTCTACATTGTATCCTTCCCTCCCATGGGATCCTCACTCCTCCACATTGTATCCTTCCCTCCTATGGGATCCTCACTCCTCCACATTGTATCCTTCCCTCCTATGGGATCATCACTCCTCTACATTGTATCCTTCCCTCCCATGGGATCCTCACTCCTCCACATTGTATCCTTCCCTCCTATGGGATCCTCACTCCTCCACATTGTATCCTTCCCTCCTATGGGATCATCACTCCTCTACATTGTATCCTTCCCTCCCATGGGATCCTCACTCCTCCACATTGTATCCTTCCCTCCTATGGGATCCTCACTCCTCCACATTGTATCCTTCCCTCCTATGGGATCATCACTCCTCTACATTGTATCCTTCCCTCCCATGGGATCCTCACTCCTCCACATTGTATCCTTCCCTCCTATGGGATCCTCACTCCTCCACATTGTATCCTTCCCTCCTATGGGATCATCACTCCTCTACATTGTATCCTTCCCTCCCATGGGATCCTCACTCCTCCACATTGTATCCTTCCCTCCTATGGGATCCTCACTCCTCCACATTGTATCCTTCCCTCCTATGGGATCATCACTCCTCCACATTGTATCCTTCCCTCCCATGGGATCCTCACTCCTCCACATTGTATCCTTCCCTCCTATGGGATCATCACTCCTCTACATTGTATCCTTCCCTCCCATGGGATCCTCACTCCTCCACATTGTATCCTTCCCTCCTATGGGATCATCACTCCTCCACATTGTATCCTTCCCTCCCATGGGATCCTCACTCCTCCACATTGTATCCTTCCCTCCTATGGGATCATCACTCCTCTACATTGTATCCTTCCCTCCCATGGGATCCTCACTCCTCCACATTGTATCCTTCCCTCCTATGGGATCCTCACTCCTCCACATTGTATCCTTCCCTCCTATGGGATCATCACTCCTCTACATTGTATCCTTCCCTCCCATGGGATCCTCACTCCTCCACATTGTATCCTTCCCTCCTATGGGATCCTCACTCCTCCACATTGTATCCTTCCCTCCTATGGGATCATCACTCCTCTACATTGTATCCTTCCCTCCCATGGGATCCTCACTCCTCCACATTGTATCCTTCCCTCCTATGGGATCCTCACTCCTCCACATTGTATCCTTCCCTCCTATGGGATCATCACTCCTCTACATTGTATCCTTCCCTCCCATGGGATCCTCACTCCTCCACATTGTATCCTTCCCTCCTATGGGATCCTCACTCCTCCACATTGTATCCTTCCCTCCTATGGGATCATCACTCCTCTACATTGTATCCTTCCCTCCCATGGGATCCTCACTCCTCCACATTGTATCCTTCCCTCCTATGGGATCCTCACTCCTCCACATTGTATCCTTCCCTCCTATGGGATCATCACTCCTCTACATTGTATCCTTCCCTCCCATGGGATCCTCACTCCTCCACATTGTATCCTTCCCTCCTATGGGATCCTCACTCCTCCACATTGTATCCTTCCCTCCTATGGGATCATCACTCCTCTACATTGTATCCTTCCCTCCCATGGGATCCTCACTCCTCCACATTGTATCCTTCCCTCCTATGGGATCATCACTCCTCCACATTGTATCCTTCCCTCCTATGGGATCCTCACTCCTCCACATTGTATCCTTCCCTCCTATGGGATCATCACTCCTCTACATTGTATCCTTCCCTCCTATGGGATCATCACTCCTCTACATTGTATCCTTCCCTCCTATGGGATCCTCACTCCTCCACATTGTATCCTTCCCTCCTATGGGATCATCACTCCTCCACATTGTATCCTTCCCTCCCATGGGATCCTCACTCCTCCACATTGTATCCTTCCCTCCTATGGGATCCTCACTCCTCCACATTGTATCCTTCCCTCCTATGGGATCATCACTCCTCTACATTGTATCCTTCCCTCCCATGGGATCCTCACTCCTCCACATTGTATCCTTCCCTCCTATGGGATCATCACTCCTCTACATTGTATCCTTCCCTCCTATGGGATCCTCACTCCTCCACATTGTATCCTTCCCTCCTATGGGATCATCACTCCTCTACATTGTATCCTTCCCTCCTATGGGATCATCACTCCTCTACATTGTATCCTTCCCTCCTATGGGATCATCACTCCTCTACATTGTATCCTTCCCTCCTATGGGATCATCACTCCTCTACATTGTATCCTTCCCTCCTATGGGATCATCACTCCTCTACATTGTATCCTTCCCTCCTATGGGATCATCACTCCTCTACATTGTATCCTTCCCTCCTATGGGATCATCACTCCTCTACATTGTATCCTTCCCTCCTATGGGGTCATCACCCCTCTACATTGTATTATTCCCTCCTATGGGATCATCACCCCTCTACATTGTATTATTCCCTCCTATGGGATCATCACTCCTCTACATTGTATCCTTCCCCCCTATGGGATCATCACTCCTCTACATTGTATCCTTCCCTCCTATGAGATCATCACTCCTCTACATTGTATCATTCCCTCCTATGGGATCATCATTCCTCTACATTGTATCATTCCCTCCTATGTGATCATCACTCCTCTACATTGTATCATTCCCTCCTACGGGATCATCACTCCCCTACATTGTATCCTTCCCTCCTATGGGATCATCACTCCTCTACATTGTATCCTTCCCTCCTATGAGATCATCACTCCTCTACATTGTATCATTCCCTCCTATGGGGTCATCACCCCTCTACATTGTATTATTCCCTCCTATGGGATCATCACTCCTCTACATTGTATCCTTCCCTCCTATAGGATCATCACTCCTCTACATTGTATCCTTCCCTCCTATGGGATCATCACTCCTCTACATTGTATTATTCCCTCCTATGGGATCATCACTCCTCTACATTGTATCATTCCTTCCTATGGGATCATCACTCCTCTACATTGTATCCTTCCCTCCTATGGGGTCATCACCCCTCTACATTGTATTATTCCCTCCTATGGGATCATCACCCCTCTACATTGTATCCTTCCCTCCTATGAGATCATCACCCCTCTACATTGTATCCTTCCCTCCTATGGGATCATCACTCCTCTACATTGTATTATTCCCTCCTATGGGATCATCACTCCTCTACATTGTATCATTCCTTCCTATGGGGTCATCACTCCTCTACATTGTATCCTTCCCTCCTATGGGATCATCACTCCTCTACATTGTATCATTCCTTCCTATGGGGTCATCACCCCTCTACATTGTATTATTCCCTCCTATGGGATCATCACTCCTCTACATTGTATCATTCCTTCCTATGGGGTTATTGCTCCTCTTGAAGAGGATTCAGAAATACTCACAGCTTAGCTCAGTCGGTTGTCCATGTGTTATTACCATAGAGAGGAGATAAGGACAGAGCGGCTGTGTGGTTTGTGGTTGCTGATCGCTCCCTGCTGGTGGAGGACTGTAACTGCAGCATTAGAACCTCCATAGAAGAGCTGATGTAATTCCAGCAGAGGGGACTTCTGGAGCTGATTTATTACAATGCATATCAATGGTCGGACTCTGCTGGGTGGGAAACGTGACAATTAAATGCTCCGAAGAATACTTGTCGCCACAGTAACCAGCTAGGTAATCACCCCGAACCGCTATATCCTGTCAGCATGACCCCGCCTTCCCGCTCCCCTTCCCTTCTGGGTGTGTGAAGTTGCTATGGCCGTCCCTGGATCACGTGCTCTTGCCAGTTGTCTCTCCACCTCCCTATATATGGTCAATGAGCTCAGCCAGCGTGCGGGACAGCCCACTCCGGGCTCTCCCGCTGCTATTGGCCGCTCACGCCCACCGGCCAAGCCCCCCTCATTCATCAGCGTTTCGCTTTCCCATTCGTCGCTGCCCGCTAATTCCCGCCCATCGACCTCCGTCATTGGACGTTTTCGGATTGAGACCCGCCCCACAGTGACACCCTGCCGGGGAATGTGACGTGGGTGTTCGGGAGCGCGGACGTAGTGGTGTACCCGGGGCGCGCGCACGGAGGGTGTAGGCGGAGAGGCTGCATCTCGGAGACTGGTAATGGGAGAGGAGAATGTGTGCGGTGGATGGATGAGGGCTCTGTGTATACATTGTCTGTATACATACGTATATACTAGAGGGGGGTGCTGTATACAGGGCTTCTGTATGGAGTGGAGGGTACCCTGTGTACAATATGGGGCTTGCTGTATATGACAGAGAATTCACTATAGATGGGGGAGGGGCCTATTGCATACATACATGAGGGGGCGTGTATCCTAGAGAACCCCCATATATACATGAGGGGGGGTGTATCCTAGAGAACCCCCATATATTCATGGGGGGGGGTGTATCCTAGAGAACCCCCATATATTCATGGGGGGGTGTATCCTAGC